TCTGAAAGAGACCGCTGGATTTTTACATAAAATCTGCTAATATTTCAAACAATTTATGATGCTAAGGGTCTAACAGGGTTCTAGCTATCTTTCATAGGGGAAATAGTCCTGAAACACTATAGGATCTCCGTTTTTTTCCACATGTTTAAATTTTTGCTTTAGGACAGAAACTCTGAAATTCACCCTTACATAAACAAAGCACATGGTTTGGGCAAAAATACCTTTAAGGTTATGTAAAAACTCCAGATGCTTTTTTTCTGTTATTCTGTTATGTTTTTATTAGATGCCTGAGTTTTTATAAGCAGATTTCGCAATTAAAGAATAAGAAGTGCTTTTTAACCTGTTAACTTGAAACACCAAAAATGCCTCAAAAGGCATAATCTAAATCAGCTGCTGTTCTTTCAAAGGTGGTCTAGCCTGCCATATAAAACCACCAGGCTGCAACTCTGGAGGTCCCGTCAAAAGGCTGTAATGTTGCACATAATGTTTTGGACAATTTAGGTATTCTAGAAAAATTACAAGGAGATCCGACAAATCATTTTTGGGATTGTGGATTCAAATTGCAAAAGAAATCGATTAGAAGCATATTTTAGAGGTAGGCGGATCGATCCTAGGATCGATACTATCGATATTTGGTATTGATATCGAACAATATTGGTTAAACAAGATCTATACTCTTTCTTCTCTCCCGCAAGCACTAACTGCAGCAAATTGACTAATCTTCCCACCAGTTTTTCATCGCTTCGCTGCTTCCCCCTCTACACTGGTCACTGGCTCAGCACACAGGGTCAGCATGACCCCGCCCACTCAGCTCTCTCTCCAATCAATGCATAAAACTGCACCGCAGCGGAGCAGAAAAACATGAAGATGGAAAGAAGCAGCGTTTGACTATATTTAACAATGTAAATGAAACAATAGCAAGCTGTATGGTTTGGAAAAAACGGTTAAATTCAGAGGAAACACAACAAGTTTATATAAGCGCATGAAAAACCAACACGAGCAAGAAAATGTCGAGCTACAGAAACAGAGAGAGGAGACGAAACTTTACCCATTGCCTCATAAATAAATAAATACATAAAGCTTGATTGTTAAAAGGTATCGGTATCGTATCGATATTGCAGATACTGACCCTGAATTTACTTGGTATCGTATCGGTTAAAAATCCCCATTATCGCCCACCTCTAGCATGTTTCCTTTACCAAAAAGATGAATATAAAGCTGACAAACCCAAATGGATGTTTTGTTTCTATTCAAAGGTCCTGATAAAAAATCTTAAAGACTATTTAAAGAGGACGAACCTGAAAGAACTTCAACATTGAATGTGTTTTTAACTCTCCCGACTTTCCTTTCAACTGTTTCTCATTTGAAAGAGTGGCTAAAAGAAGGAGACCTATGGGTTGCACGGTTTAAAATCCAAACAGACACCAATTACCTTTTGTTGAAGCTGACCTCACAAGGCATCTGGGTTCTCAGGGGTCATAGTTTTAAGAGAAATCAAACCATCTTCCCGATCAGGTTTGCATGAGTGAAATGAAAACTATCTACATAAACTGTCTCGCGCCAACAAATACTCACCACAGTGACGGCATCATTGAAGAGGCCCTCTCCAAAAATCACTATGTAGATCTGCTCGTTGACTCCAACATCATCGAACACATTGAGAGCCGCCACAGGGTCAACAGCAGAGATGATGGAGGCAAACAACAAGTTCTCCTGCAGAGATATTTTTCATGTATCAGCAGCTGATTTTTTTTATAGTTGACATGACACTCTAAAGGGTTCACAATTCACCTGCAGATTAATGTCTTGAACTTCGAACAATTCAAATTGGCAGATGGCGAAAAGGGAGAGGCCAATGCCAATGCTGTTCCACAACGTCCCAACTACGGCGTACCACAGCACCGTCCCAATGTTTTCAAAGAAAGGCCTGGTGGGCATAAAGTAACCACTGTCCAGGATGATAGGCGGTAGCATGTAGAGAAAGAAGACATTGGAGGTGAGAACGGCGGGGGGTTCCTCCTTCACAGAGTGCATGATGGCCCCAACTATAAGGCCGATAGCGATCAGGAGGCATGATTCTGGGATCCAGATGGTGATTTTTTGGTAAATGTGGAAACCTGGGAAGATAAGATGAAGGATTTTAGGGTTAGACCTCCAGATCTGCAGTCGGTTGAACCTGTCTGCTTTTCTACATACCAATTTTGGAAAAGGAAGCCAATAGCACCCAGAGGGTGAACTCAAACGGGATCTGGATCCGAGCGTAGTCCATTGTAAACACAGGAAGATTACCATATTCCTCTTCTGGAAAGGGCTGAGGTTCCTCAATACCGCTGTCAAAAGGTTTGACAGTTTCAAAGATGCCTGAGTCTGTTGGCTTTGGTTCCTTTAGTTCGCATTTTCCAGTAGTGCAGCAAAGGAGCAAAAAGATCATACAGAAAACCCAAGTCTTAGTCCTTTCAACTGACAAAGCAAATCTCTCCATTTTTTACAAGAATAAAGAAATCTCCAAAGAAATCTACATTAAACTTTAAAATTAGACTAGAAGTTGTAGAGGTCTAGAACTTGTGAGGCCCTTGTGAACTCCCACAGACAGTTTCATTGAATGTTGGAGTTTCGTGTAACTCTGCAAAAAGAAACAGTCCCTCCTCCCAAAGCCTCAGAAGGATAAGGACTGAGGTGCGAATCTGGTTTCAACTGTTGCTGAACCTGCTTGCTTTACCTGTTTGCCCTACCTACTGGGTGGAGCTGCATGTTGAAAACAACATGAAGAGGAAACGGTAGCACTGTCCCATTGGTATGTTGTCATTAGGTCAAACCTTAGCTGTCTCAGTTGACAAACACTCCCACGGTTCAATGGCAGAAACTTAGGATGGACTGGAATAAAGCTGGAAGGCCAGCCAGAAAACCGGTTTTGGGATCTGCAGTACCGCAACAAATCCACACGATGGCAGCAGAACACCGTTCCTGTGATTTCTGAAGGAGCTTGATTTCTAATTTTAATGTGACTTTTGCAAGTTATAATGCTTTATTGCAATGTTTTCTGTAATAATAATAAACAAAATGAATAATATATTTTTAACCTAACAATATATTTAAATATTTTAATACTTGCCAACGTATTTAGATTTATTTAGAGGGTCCATCAAAATTTTTTGGGGATTGGTCCAATGCTTTTGTATTCCTCTTTTTTTTTTTTTTTTTTGCTATTTATCTTGTTTTCTTAAAACACAGACAGAAAATGGGAAAAAAGAGTTGCACTCATGATCAATTATAAGTAGCTAAAACGGTAAAAATATGAATAAAATAATCAAACTATACATAAATTGACCTTTTATTGAATTATTTTTAATAATTATTTTAATTTTCTTAACTATAGATTAAAAATATGTACTACTTGTTGAAGTATTTAGATTTATTTTAAAGTGTACAACACATACGTTCTATGGGGATGTGATAAAAGTTTCTATTTTTATGTTTCTTATTTTTTCTCTTTATCTTGTTTTCATTGAAAAGAAAACAGACACAAAAATGGGGGAAAAAAGGAAGAGTTGGACCCATGGTCAAAATATAAAAAAGACAATCGAAATAAACCTGAACAAAAAAATAGGCAAAAAAGAAATATGGTTTAAAGTGTTTATTACATTTCTAATGTGACACAATTACTATCAAGTCCACCTTTTAATGGCTCACAAAAAATGATTTGCATGAATCTAACTGAGTTAGTAGTTAAATAGGCTGTCCATTCTCGAGGAAACTTAAACATGGCAGAATTAAAGCATTTCTATGTTGTTGAGTGTAATGCATTTCTGTAAATGGATGTAAAAGGTTTATATCCTGTATCACAATCTCTTAATCAAATTTCATTCTGGCAAAGGCAGGGCAAGTTTATTTATATAGCACAATTCAGTACAAAAACAAGTAAAAGTTCTTTGGATGAATTCAATAATAAAATAGAAAGATACTAAAAGCAGAATAAAAGCAAGTTAAGATGAGAACAGCATGATAAAAGCTGGTATACAAGGTGGAAGATTGATGGGGATTCAACTTCATCTGCATCTCTTTTCCCTCAGGCACTAATATTTTTTGATAACTGATTGTAGAGTTTACGGGGCTACCTTTGTTTGATGATATTAAACATTCCCAGATTACAGTATATGTAACTATACAGGCTACTTGTATAGATGTTGGTTTGATAGACTGTGTGACTCCAGTTTCATCTAAAATGCATTTAAAAAGAGCTTGTAAAGTTTTATATATTTGGTTTCCCTTGTTTTTTTCATTGCATTTCCATCTAACAAACATGTGCAATTCTCTCTGACTATCAGAATTTTACTTCTTACCCATTTCTTTAGTACCACTTTGTCAGTAAAATCAAAATTATTGTCATCTCTTCAACAGTCATTTTGAAATACAAATTTATAGTCAATATAAATAATAAGTTATGTTCAAATACAAAGATAAATATGTTAATACTACAAAACTAGCTTTGTTATCTCAAAAACAAATTTTAAACAATTCTAAAATAAATTTTTAAATGGTATATTTTGCATTACATATATATAAAATATATATTGTATATCTTTCATATGTATTTCTAAATGAATTAATTTGAACTATTAAGAGCAAAAATGGAGGTATACAGGTGCTTTTATTGTTTCTAATTGGATGCAACATTAATTTAAACCTATGTTGAGGAACTCTTGTTGTATTTTAACAAAAATAATAAACAGTTTCAAAATGAATGATACATTTATTTATGTTAATTTCAATTTTATTTTATTTTATCTTATTTAACTTTATTTTATTTTTATTTTATTTTATTTTATTTAAGTTAATTTTATTTTATTTTATGTTATTTAACTTAATTTTATTTATTTATTTTTTTTTTATCTTATTTAACTTTATTTAATTTTAATTTTAATTTCATCCAGGAAGAAAGCGTAAGAGACGACGTGATGACGTCACGGGTGTTCTCGTCTGGGGGGGCGTGGCTTAACGCTGCTGCGGTTTGGGTGACGTCCAGAAGCAGACGTAGAGAAACAGTGCTGCAGTTTGCAGTCCCTCACCTCCACACTGTTGTCATTTTCCTCCAGAACTTGGCGGATATTTGGCAGCAGACAGCTGAACCCAACAGGTAAGCAGCACATATTTTAAACGCTTTAAGCTCGTTAAATCATGACAGACCGGCTGTTTTCGTCGCGCTGTCGGAAGCTAACTGCCGCGTCCTCACTGTTTATTAATCAGGGTCTAAGTTCTTAAACGGAAGATGGAGTTACTTTGAACCTATTTGTGTTATTTTTGCTTTAAACCCGACATATATCCAGCTATTAAAAACAAGTGAATGCAGCAGTTTGGTAATACGCGCGTTATGACCCAAGTAGAGGCTGTTATTTGCTTTAAATTTAAGGAAATGTTGAAGAACTAACAGCCTTGTTAAGAAGGAAGTGTTTGAAATGAAGAGCTTTACTTCAGGCCTTAGAACATACTGCTGACTCACTTATGTAACTTTATTTAAAATGGTTTTACCTGCAGGTTTGTGTGATTAAACGGATCATATTTTCTGCCTTTTTTATTGTTTCCCTGAGCATCAATGATCTGTAATGTTGATAGATGCATCTTCAGGACAAGTTAATGTGTTTGTGCTGAAGGTGATGCTGGCATGTGGTGCTGACAGCTCACTGCAGTCCTGCTGCTGATGTTTAGTTTCACTCTGAGGGAGTCAAGGTCAATGATGATGCTCCTTCTAATGGGGGGATATATATTTATATATGTGTGTATATATGTATATATATATATATATATATATATATATATATATATATATATATATATATAATTTTTTTTTCTATTTTTAATTTATTTTCCCTGCATGGTGTCTTTCTACATGGAGTTTGCATGTTCTCCCTGAGCATGCGTGGGTTCTCTCCGGGTACTCCTGCTTCCTCCCACAGTCCAAAAACATGACTGTTAGGTTAATTGGCTTTTCTAAGTTCTCCTTAGGTGTGTGTGTGAATGGTTGTTTGTCTCTGTGTTGCCCTGCGATGGACTGGCGAGCGGTTCTCTCGCCTGTAAACAGCTAGAGATAGGCACCTGCGCCCTTTCTTGACCCCCGCTTGGGCTTAAGCGTGTCACAGAAAGGATGGATGGATATATGTTAAGTTTGGGTTTTTTGTTGTTGACATGTTTAGATCGATATGGGAATAAAGACGGATGGAAGAATAACAACATCTGGCTATTTGTTTTCCACTTTTCCAGAGTATTAAAAATTTGACAAAGTAAGTGAAAGAAATAATTCGAGATAAAGTGCTGTATGTATTTATTTATTTTAAAAACAGATTATTTAGGTCCTAAAAGTACGGTGCAAACTGCAAAAGCAGTTATAATGCAAAACTCCCAAAACATGCAAGCGTTAAAAAAAACCCGAAATGCATCTCCCAACCAGACCCATTCCTAAATTGTAGACATGAAGGCTCGTCTGTAGTGGTCTGTATCGCACCGGGTCTGCAGGAGCCTCTGACTGAAGACACTTCTGAAGAAGATGCTCACTGTTGTCCATAATGTTCTTCCCTTTATGAAGAATTCTTCTTTGTGAAATATCCTCCAGAGGTTCTTTTCAATTAGCTTGTTGAGCTTCTTTTAAAGTCATTAGCTCTGTTACCCCAGCAGATGATGGGGGAAGAGTCCCCACTCTCCACAAGATACGTAGCATCTTGTTGCTTACGCCATAGGACCTAAGCTTCCTTTGGAAGTACAATCTGCTTTTTCCTTTCCTGTAGACGGCTTCACAGTTGTGCCTACAGTCTAGTTTGTCATCCAGGTGAACCGAGGTATTTATACTCCTGCACCACCTCAACTTCTTCTCCCTCGCTGTTAATAGGTTTCAGCTTGTTCCTGTTTCTTCTGAAATCTACTATGCCCTCCCTTGTTTTGTTGACATTCAGGAGCTGATGATTGTTTCCACATCATTTCGCAACAATGGCTGATAAGTGATATTTAGTGATATCAAATGTTTCCCTTCCCTTTGATATCATAAACAAAACAGACACAGCAGAGCCACTGCTTCTCAGCTTCAGTCAAAATAAATCTAACACCACATGAGCAACCAGTCCCCCCCCTTAAAAAAACCTGCAACTCCATAAAAATAAACATACGTTGTTAATAATTGGCTTAGATTTACTTATCAACTGATCTAGATACACTCAGAAATGATACAAAATTGGCTGATACCAATATTGATGCAGATATATCATGCATCACTAATAAGATGGAATGAAGGAGACCCCGAAACAATAATGTCCTGATTCCTGTAAAAGGTTATTTTAGTGGAAACACTGAGGTGTTTCTTTTGGTGTTGTTCTATGGAGTGAATTTTGTCACATAATTTTTTGCAAGCAAAAACGTGTTTTGTAAACAGAAAGTAAAAAAAACTAAACATGTTTTGTACATGGAAATGTAATTAAGAAAAGTTTTTTAGAGAAGCTTTTCTGCTTTATTATTATTATTATTTGAAGTTATTTTATTTTCTCAAAAAATGTTTATTATTTGTCAATTTTTTCCTATATTTAGTTAGCTAGTTCAAATTCTATACTTTCGAAATTTTCTGTCTCAGATTGAGTTTTACAAATTGCATTCACATTTTACAGATATGCAAGCGTGATCTATCATATTTTTTCACTTTGGAGTCGGGAGCGAAGATACATTTTTAGAACTGGATCTAAAAAAGAAGAATTTGAATAAATGAAAACTCGTAAATATAATCCTTTATTTTTTTTTTTTGGAAAAACTAAAATCTGAGGAAGCAGCAAGTTTCATTTCTGGATTGCATTTTTTTTTTAAATCAAATTCCCATTTACAAAACTTTCTATATTCTTGCAACAGTAGTGGAACAAAATTTACTCCACATTTTCCCTTATTTTAATGTTTTAACAGCAATATCCCCTGCTTCTACATTCCAGGCATTTTGTTTGATTCTTCTCCCAGTTTGAAATTTATAAACTTCTGTTGGTTGCAGAAGAAACATTCAAATCTTGTCCCCATAAATAACTCAGTTATAAATTCAGACAGTGCAAAAATAAATATCTTTACATGTTGTTATCAAAGCGAGTCAATAAAACCAAATAAATGAATCAGTTTTTACAGTGTAGATGTTTGCAGCTGTATTCTTCCAGCGATATAGCTCGCTGTGAAGCGTCTTGTCATGACTCATCAAACGCTCCCATTCAGCAGGCAGACGCCTGTTGATTCTGTGTTTCTGTGGATCTTCTGCTCTGCTAACCCAAGCCTGCAGCCTGCTGCTTGTCTGGTGGTTTGGGGGCTAAGGAGGTTCCCATTCAGCCGAAGGGAATCTAATCTGATTTGATTTTAGTTAAATTGCATATAAACATTCTAAAATGTTTCTCTTCTTAAATATAAGCAGTTTAAGGCATGTTTTTACTCACAATGAAAGAATCAGCTGGTGTATGCCTATTTTAAAAATAATCTCTCTTTACTTAGCTGTAGCATCCTTAAGATGATTGTCTGGTTTTGTTTGTGAGCATTTGGCCTACTGCTGCTGATGATGGCACTTCTCATGTAACAGCCTCCTTAATATTAATGTACTCTGGGGAGGTTGGAGACCCATCAGGGCGGCGCCAAGTCACTAAAGGCCCAAAGGTTTGCAGCTCCCGGAAAGGAATCCATGAGGATTTTAAAGCAGTACAGCTTCGACTGACAATTATTTTTATGGGCGACCAATCAGTGGATTCCTTTCTTTAAGATCTTTATCATAACTTTCTGATGAGGGCTGGTATGGAGGGAATGTTGTTCCATTATAGTTCCAAGGGAAAAAAATTATTTAAGGACAATCTTGTTTTGACCTTTAATCTAGATTAGGGCTGCAACTAACGATTATTTTGCAAATCGATTAATCTGTTGATTATTTTTTAAACTAACTGATTAATTATTGGCTAGCCAAATGTTCCTTAAAGAAGATTTTTTGCAGAATTAAACCAGGTGAGACTAAAACTTTTCCACTTGAGGAGTTCTGGATAGAGCATATTGACAGACAAATTATATATTTTTTTATCTTAAATGCAAAATGTTTCTATATTTTTTTTACAATTTTGGTATTATTACTTCTCTAAGTGAGTTGTTCTGTCAGCTCAACGTACATTTTAGAGTCTATTCTCCAGTTAACGATGAATTGATTATTTAAATATCCGCCCTAATCTAGATACTTAAGTACGTGCCTGTCTTTTCTACATGTCACCGAATTTTGGTTGAGATGCGTAGATGCTTCTGTTTGGCATGGAAGAAACAGGAAATGGATATCATGTATCAACGTTCCTCTCACAAACACCTTATCTAGCAGGACTAGGAAAGCTAAGGTTTACCTTCCAACTGGTGCTTTTTCTATAAAATAATTAAGAAAACCTAAAGTTGTTGATTCTAATTGGTTCAACACAAAGTTGTTTGTTTTTATAGTTGTGAAAAAAAATTTCAGCCTAGTGACCAGGTGTCCTGATTTGTGCAGGATAGACCCACGTTTTTCACTTTCGCAGTATCCCACATTTCAAACAAAAAACCCCCCAAAAAAGTCAAGTGTATTTTTATAATATTTTTATTTCCTAAATCCAAAAACAAAACTGTGCTAATGTCCCACATCATGACTTAGCTGAGCGTGACGTTCTTAAACTGAACAGATGAAGGATTTAAGGAAATAAAAGGCAGCAACAGCAAAAGACTGTGGAACAGTTTATAACTCAGTGATTGTCAGACAGCTTTTAGTGAACTTTACTGGAGTTATTTTAATTTTGATACAAGGGGAGCGGGATGTTAAACAATACTGAAAAAGCCTCGTCTGTCCTGCATTGTCCCTCATTAGCTTTCTAGCTGTGTCGCTTACATCACATGTTGCAAACACTTCTGGTGTGTTTACCTCTTAATATTGATGCAAAGTGGATCGACTTCCAGATTCCTGATGCTTAATGGATAAAAACAGCACAAAAAAAACTATTGTTCCAAAATAACTATGGATATTCCTGCTAATTATTGCTGCATGCAAACCTCTAAGTATATGTTACAAACTCAAAACACAGCTTTCCTACAAGTTTGGATATTGCTAGGTCTGCAAATAAGGATCGTTTTGCTAATTGA